CTATCACACCAACTGAACTAGTCACCTCACCTTTGTTTATATCATGGAAAAATACCTTTCTATCCTGTTTAAACCATTGTTACATTTGATTTTTGTGTCACTGGCAGCTAAACTTAATCCTAACTGACAACTAAAAAATCTCTACTTATATTATCATACCAAACTGTTGCTAATACCAAAATATAGTACTCCTATCATTCTGAAATTTATTGACAGAAATCATTCTTACACTCATCCATAATAAACATCTACTGATTTATAAAGTATATACTTAGATACAGGCATTGCACTAGTGTGAGAGATCACATATGTTTATAAGAAATGAACCCTGCTCTCTTGAGTGAACAGTCTCGATGGAGAATGTGACAAAGGCTGACTTGTCCCCAATACCTATTGTCTCTTTCTCCCACATGGCCCTCCAGAGTATATGAACCTGCCTACCCTTCAGTATGTGCTCTTTGCCTCTTGCCCTCTCTTCTTTTATCTTGCTGTTTGGGATGTGGATGTGAGGGTAAAGCTCCATTCTGGATGAGGCAGATGAAGACAATACCCTAATTCTAGACCAGTACGTAAGTGGGAAATAAACTTCTATCTTGATTTTGCCACCATTTTTCAGATGTTTCTGATAGCTAAACCTAATCCTAACCAATGATAGAAGAACACCACTAGTTGTCATATTTACAAGCCAAATTCAAGAGACAGATAATACTCCAGACACACACCTTCTGTGGGCTTTAGGGGTCATATGACTACAGTCTGACTCAAGTGTCATTAGATAAGACCTCTTCCTTATTTGATAGCCGAGATCAACTACCACTTTTTCTCCTGGTGGCAGAAATATACAAAATCCATAATATCAGTCATCCTTTTAAAGCAGTTTAAACTACTGTCAAGGTATAATTCTCATACATACATAATACACACACATACAGAAATATGTGTATCAAGTGGACCTTGATGCTGCTCAACAATCACACTACATTTCCCTAGTCTGTTCATTCTTCCAGACAGCCATTTCACACCTTCTCCTGTCTCTTCTCTCCTCAAACTTCTCCTACATCTTCCCCTATCCTCACTTTCAGCTGAGGACCTTCCCTGAAAACAGAAGCACTGAGAAAACAAGCAATCAGTGGAGAAGTTCTACAAGCTCTCCCCATCAGGACGCCTACCCAGCCACCTGCACCTGTATCTATATACTCCACCTTCCTTCCTGTTATTGTGGACGAACTCCCTGTGCTCCTAGAGCCAACTACTCCACTGGACCACCAGACCCCATCCCACTGCCTTCTCAAGGCTATCACTCCAGAAGTCCTCCTCTCCCTTCCCTACTTCATCAATTGTTTCTTCTTTAATAGATTTTTCCTATTAACCTAGAAGCATGATTATTTCTTCCATTTTAAAGAGAAAAACACTTTCTTCACCTCTCTTTCTCCTCAAGCTCCTACTGTTTTTCTCCTTCCCTTCATAAAAACAGCCCTCAAAAAAGTCTCTGTATTTGTTCTATTTCATCTCTACCCTTTTTCTCTTCAACCAAAAATCACCACTGCTAAATCCAGTGGTCAATTTTCAGTGCTCATCTTGACTTAGCAGCAGCAATGAATACAGCTCTCAAAACAGTTGCTTATTATCTTCCACGACAACATTCCTCAAGGGGTTTTCAGGACTCTACATGCCCCTGGTTGTCCTCCCATCTCTCCGACTTTCCTTTTCAGTCTCCCTTGGATGTTCCTTTCCATGTCCTCAGTCTCTAGAGTAAAAGGATCCCAGAGTTCACCTTTAGATTTTTCTTCTTACCCAACATTTTCTCCCTTGAGGATCTCAGACAGCCTCATGACATTAACTACCATTTTTATGCATATGGTTCCCAAATTTATATCTTTAGCCTAGATTGTTCTCCCAAACCTCAGACTTTTATATACAAGTGCCTTCTTAACACTTTTACTCAGATGTCTAATAAGCATCTCAAACCTAACATGTCCTGTTTAACGAAGTACCTGATCATCTCTATACCTCATCTTTCCAGTCTTTCCCAGTGTTCAGACCGAAAGTCTTGATAACTCTTACTCTCATATCCTACAGTCTTATAACAGGTCTTGCTGCTTCTGTCCTTTCCACTCCTGCAGTCTATTGCAGACATAGTCTAAGTCAAATTGTATCACTCCTGTCTTCAGAAACTTTGTTTGGTGCCCCTTCTCACTTAAAATAAAAACCAAAGTCCTTATAATGAACTCTAAGGCCCTTATGAAATGGCCTTGGTTACCTCTCTGATCTCATCACCTACTACGGCCCCCTTGCTCACTCTGCTCCAGCCAGACTTGCTGCTCCTCAGACTTGCTGGGTACACTCCTGCTTCAGCACCTCTGCATTTACTCCCACTGCTTAGGGACATCTGCATGGCTCACTCCCTCACCTCCTTAAAGTATCTCCTCACTGAGGCTTTTGCTCACTATCTAAATTACAACTACACCTCCACCACCACCACCATTTCACTTACATTTACACACACACACACACACACACACACAGACTCACTCGCTATTTCCCCTTTGTGTCTTATTTTTTATCTTCACCAATAATAATAAATGTGTCATGAACTTATTTATGACTAGTTTGCATTAACTGGTAATAACTGGTACAACTACAGCATGTAGTGCTGTGGAAAGAGAAAATCACTAATGTTGTAAAGGCTTATATTCGGAGGATTTGATGTGTCAGGTAGTATGACGCAGGGTAGGGAGATTATGATGAGACAGTAAGGTGGGTAAGGTTAATTCAAATGCTGAAAAGTCAAATTATTTCTGAAAACTATCTGGCATATTGCTATACTGATCAAAATTCTATTCTCCTCCATTTTTTGTTACTTATAAAAAGAGAATTAAATAAATATAAATATAATCAATTTTATTACCATTTTTCATTTCTTTTATAAAGTCAATCTGGTAACGGAGGTTAACATAATTTTCATTAGAGAAAAATTACAGACAGTAGCTCCATCATTTACAAATTTAAATACTAGTACCATATGTTAAGTAGTTAATAATATCCTGCACAATTTTTTGAAAATATGATAAAATTCAAATAGAGAAAAATCAATAACATCTATCAAGACATGATTTTCTTTTAATAAAAATAAAATACTTTAAATATTTAACAGTATATAAAATAACAATACACATAAAATATTGAATTACCTTTGTTTCTTTGGAGCTCATTTTTTAAATCTTCAATAATAAAAGTATTTTTTTCCATTTCTTTTGTATACTGTTCTACTTGCTCAGTGAGCATCTTAATTTGATTATCTCGTTCTTGCACACCCTAAAAAAGATTTATAAGTATCACATATTATCTTTTTATAAATATTAATATACATTTTAAAAGTAAGGAAAAAAGTTTCTTTCAATAAGACTACTGAATATACTTTTTTGTAGTTCAAAACCATGCCTTTTACTATTTTGTATACCTCAACTGCACTACACAATGTTAGGTATACTGCAGTCACTCTAATATAATGGCTAATGACACTCCGGCAAAAAGGAATTCCAGAACTCTAATATTTGTGGCTTCTCATGACTCTTTTTTTATGTTACTTTTCTTCATCATTCATCCAATTCCATCTTTTCAGCATTTTGTATGTTTGTGTTTCGCCCTGTGTTTTCTCTCTTACTCAATACTTCATTCAAAAATGCCATCCCTCAGTCTGGTGCCGTGGCCGAGTGGTTAAGTTCATAGGCTCTACTTCAGCGGCCCAGGATTTTGCCAGTTCAGATCCTGGGCATGGACATGGCACCGCTCATCAGGCCATGCTGAGGCAGCATCCCACATAGCACAACCAGAAGGACCTACAACTAGGATATACAACTATATACTGGCAGGCTTTGGGAAGAAGAAGAAGGAAAAGAAAAAAACAAGACTGGCAACAGATGTTAGCTCAGGTGCCAGTCGTCAAAAAAAAATATCGGCCCATGCAATTGTTCTCACTTTCCAAATACATCCCAAATTTCCTTCTTTGCTTTTGGAGTATGAATACAGAACACAGACGGTAAAAATGTAATTTCTTTCTATATGAATATATTTGTGCTAAAAATGAAGTCTTTATGTAGTAAAAATTATAACCATACATTTTGCTTTTTTTCAAATTGTATAGGAGATATCAGCACTAAAATACAATATAATAAACTTTAATATTGGAGTATATATTAAGATATTTTAAAATTTCTAAAGATTTTTAATAGTTATTAAATAATTCCCAAGAAAAACAATGAATGTGTTATCTGCATCAAGACAGAAAAATACACAAAATAATCCCATTCTTAATTCTAAACTTAATTCTAATTTTTTCTCGGGACTAGATGGTGTAAGAAACTTCAAAAGACTTTATATATACCCAATAGTGCAAGCCACTAGATAAGTAAGGCACAGTTTAGAGTTTCATTGCCAACTTTAATAACACTGGTTGATATACCAAATTTTGAGATTTTACCTGTTGTAGAGCCATAACATTACTTTTATCAGCATCAAGCTGGGCATTTTTCAGTTTCTCCCTCAGGTTATGTAACATTTGCTGATATTCAATAATTTCATCATCTTTAGAAGACAAAATTAACTAGAAATAAAATAGGATCTGTTACATAAGAGGAAAATTAATACATCATTCCTCATTTATGGTAAATACTCTAATATATACCATCGATTTCAGAGAAATACAGGAAATAAAATTCTTTGAAGTGAGAAAGGATCAGCAACTATTGGAATAATCATTGTTCCTTTTGTGTGTACAATCTCAAGTTCAAATAGGGTAAGATTCGAAAATACTCAGTAATTTTTGCCTTTTTAGGAATTCAATCTTCAAACATTCTCAAGCTTTCAAAACCCACTGCTAAAACAAAAAGCCATAAATACTTCCATGAACTACAAAACGTTTGTACAACTAATCTTTATGAAGAAAACATTAAAATGTCACTGAGAAGCATAAAATACCTTGAATGAATGACAGGTATCTAATAGTGCATGAAAAGAGCGAAGGTTAGCACTCCCTTGACAAGTATGGAAGAGGCGCTTGGGCCTGACGATAAGCATATGGTTAAGGCATTGCCACCGATTTTGTGGCATCTAATCATCGTTTTTTAATACTGTATTGCACAGTTGAAAATAGCTAGGAGAGTGGGTCTTGAAAGTTCTCAGCACAAGAAAAAAATAATTGCAACTATGCATGGTGCTGGATGTTAACTGGCTTACTGTGGTGATCATTTTGAATATACAAAAATATTGAATCATTACTTCGTACACTTGAAACCAATACAATATTATGCCAATTATACCTCAATAAAAAAAATAAAAGGTATCTTGTGTTCTTCACTAGAAGGACCAAATATCAAAATCAATCTATAAATTAACTTATAAATTTTATACATACCAATAAAATAAGATATTTTTAAGAACTGTTTCTAAAATTTGTATTAAAAAAAGCATGTTTATAAGAAAAAGTATAAAAACATAAATAATGAGAACAGCTTTTTCAAATATGTAAACATAATAATTAAAACAAGTGTACATGGTTAGAAGATAGATCAATCAATATAAAAGAAGAGTCCACAAATAAATTCAAATTCCACAGGAGTTTTGCATGTAATAAAAATGGAACTATATTTCAATAGGGGAAAGATAAGATATTCAACAAATGATGTTCGGACAACAGACTCGCTCTGTTGCATCCATATCTCACTCTTAATACCAAAATGAATAAAATATGCTTTAAAGACTTAAACGTAAAAGATGAAACTAGAAAGTTGAAGATATTAGAAGAAAATACAAGAAAATTTTATATTCAGCATCCTTTCTAATTATGATTTAAGGCCTAAAGCCATTAAAAAAAATAAATTTATGCAATATAAAAAGAAACATTTCATAGCAAAAAATACCATAAAGCCAAAGACAAGTGACAAACTGGAGGAATATATTTGTAATATATATCACAATTACACTTGTAGAATTTATTCTACAGATATACATTTTCAAAATAATAAATATACAAAGATATTCATTAAAACATTGTTTCCAACAGCAAAAATCAGAAACCTCCTAAATGTCACACAATAGGGAATCAAATACATAACATACTTACAAAGAAAAATTAGAGTCATTAAAAAAACAGAGCAATACTGTATGTACTGATGCAAATTCTTAAAAGATATTAAGTAAAAACAAAGTGAAGTGAAGAAGAATACCTACGTTGCCATCTCTCATCCCTAAAATTAAATATGGTCAAAACAACTCCTTTTTTCTAGGGGTTGGTAAACTATGTACGGCTCACAGGTCAAACCTGGCCTGCTGCCTGTTCCTGTACACTTTTATTGGAAACAGCCTTGCTGACTCCTTTACGCACTGTCTGTGGCTGCTTTCACGCTACAGCAGCAGTTAAGTAGTTACACCAGAGACCAGATGGTCCAAAAGATTTGCTTCCTGGCCTTTTACAGAAAGTTTACTGACCTCTGATTGATTCTACAGGTTATCTGAGCTTCCCAGATGATAACCAACTCCACATAGCCAACAAGATTTCTATGAACACTGTTAGAAACATTAACTATAGAAGTGATAGCTTTTAAAATGAGAATTATTTATTCAGAATCATTTGAGACTGTTTCAAAATACACAATCATTACAATCATAGCTTCTGATATGGTAATGCTGGAGGACTCGATTGGGGTTGCAGAGTGGTGAGGAGGAAGAGACTTTTGGAAAGACTTCTCAGGTGATTCGGAAAGACCCCTTTCCTTACTCTCATTGCCACTGAATGCCAATAGCTTGATTAACCTGACATGGAAGGAGGGCTGCAAGAACTGAAATTAAACCTGGAACTATACAACTAATGTATACAAGGTAACCACGATTTATGGGAAGAAATTTAAATTTTATCTAGAATTACTTATTTTAGATGACAAACATTTTGGACTTAGATTTCTATTGAAGAGATTAAAATTTAACTCACTGGTGTACAAGAGCTCATTCCACCACAAACAAGCTAGAAGACTACACAGAACAGTTCTTAGAGCTTTCCTAGCTAAGATGTTCAATATACTTCAAAAATGCCTAATAAGAATGTCATTAAATAATATAAGGCCTTTAAAGAAAACTAAGACTGAAAAATTGAAATCTAAAATACAAATAAAAAACATGATATCAATTTAAAAAAGTACCTTCCATTCTTCTACTTTTGCATTGACAGCTACCATGACTGGATCATCTTCCTCGCTTTTCGCTTTCAGAAGATCTGTAAGCTCCTGAACCTAAAAGGCAACAATTATTTAAAGAATTGTTGCAAATTAGTGCAATATAAACACATTTATTATGTGTGAATATTTACACATGTATGATACATACACCCTGTGCATACACATAAACATATATACATATACATTACAAATGCTTACTCATTATTGGAGCAGTTCTGTAGTCAGAGGTGACATTAATGGTTTCTGCATCTTTACAGTTGTATAATTATTTTTCATTACTAGAGAATTTTTAAGCATTATTCTATTTTTTTTAAAGACGTTTAATCCCATGTAAATAGTGAACAACGTATTGGTTTCTATGACATTTACAGTGTAGTTATTTTAAGGTGTAAAATTGAACTTTATGGTCCACAGGACTTCCAAGAGTCTTTAGTAGAAAAATCCCATAATTATTAGCTTTGCAGGACTGCTATCTACACATTCATTCAGGTCATCACCTATATAACCTACCTGGCAAGAATTACGAGGTATGTGTAAGGGAATCAGAGAAACACACATAGACAAATACATCCGCATGGCAACATATTACAATATAAGACAACACAGTACAGCATAAGACAAAAATTTATACCCTAGAAAGTTAAAGTACCTTCTACTTTCAAATAAAGAGTAATGATGCAATATGATGTCTACACAAATAAGTCAGTCTAATAGGAATTCTTACTTGAAGCCGATAATGATCATTTTCTTTTTTTAACTGGTCCATTATATTATCTGTCTGATGTATAACAGCTTTCATCCTATTATATTCATCAGTCATCTTCTCCATTTCCTGCACAGACTCTTCTAAATTTTTTCTCATTTCTTGATTCTGAACTTCAATTTTCTCATTAGCTTCTGTTAAAGTCTAAGAAAGTTAAAGTCACTATGGTTAAAAACCAATTTAAGAAACTGAAATGTAAACTAAATTAAAATTAAATGGAGACCTAAGTGTCTACTGGAGAAAACAGAATGCCTTACAGGTCTTACAATTATTGTTGACCAATCAAAACTAATTAAATATCAAGAAAACTGTACCTAAGAATCTTAGTTCTTCTTAAAAATACCCAGGATGAGCATATAAAAAGAATGAATTTGCAAGAAGATTTATAACTTCAAACATACATTTCATATTTTACAAGTACATAGTTGCAGATTTACACTAAAGCATTTAAATTATAGGGCTAAATACTAGATTTATATTATAAGAAATTAAAGTTTTATAAGAATCATTGCTTTGAACTGACTTCTATCCATTTACCTGAATTTCATCCAGATATTGGACAAGTTCAGAATTTTTTTTAGACAACTGTGATCGGTAGTCACTGTCTTCTCCTCTTCTTGATAAAAGTGTTTCTTTTTGTGAATCTATTTGTTTCTGATAGTCAATAATATCCTGACGAAGCTGTTCATTCTGAAGGTAGACCAAACACAATATTCTACTAAGAAACTATCCAGAGAGGCAAAATTTCATCCTCTAAATAATGATCTCAAAACATATCTTTAAATTTCCAAAGTTCCACCACCCTTAAAGCCTCACCTTTTTCTTTAGACGTTTGTTCTCCAGAAAAGGACAGGAAAAGGTAATTAGAAATGAGAAAGGTAATAAACAATTAAAAACAATAACTAGAAATTAAAGAAAACAAAAAAGAGAAATTTTAGGAGAATGAGATATTATTTTGAACAACCAAAGAAAGCAAGAATGTTAATCATCAACCAAAACAAAGAACATTTTGATTATGTTAAAAAGATAAAGAACTCTTACCAGGATAAACAATGTACTAATATTATTTGGCTCAGAAGAACCAAATAATCAGAACTTAGAAGATTTCATGAGAAACATAAATTTTAAAAGAATGCTAGAAAAAATAAGAGAAATAAGGCAGAAATCCAGTTACATATTCAATCGGCAAAGTACCAAAGAATAGCTCATAAAACAGAAAGCAAGATTTGCCCACAAAGACCAAGAGATGAATGTAGTACTTAATGGTCTCACCTTTTGATTTATTTTCTATTTTCCTGAGACAAAGTCACATCATAAAATCAGCTAGTTTGAACACATCAGTTATTTATAAGATTCCACTTCTGCTTACAGTACAAATTTATGAAAACTTTTTTAACAAGTTTCTTGTTATACCACCACAACTACTAAAATTTTTTACCGACCTCTCTTCTTAATTTGCTGTTTTCATTTTCTGCTTCCTCATTTCGAAGAGCCAACTAAAATAACAAAAAATAAATAAGATAAAATTCAGCAGTAATTCAATATAATGCCAGGTTTACAGCTTAAATCAATTTAAATTTTAAATTCTCTCCAATAAAGTAAAGAATGTTTAACTACTAAGGACTGCATGTCGACCCAAGACACGAATTAATAAGCCAAAAATTTTGAAAACTAACTAAAGATGAGAAAAGACAAAACAAGCTGAGTTTAAAAGATTATAAAAACAAAAACCAAAAAATTCTAACCAAGGATACAGAAAACAAAAACACTACCCTCTACCCCTCACCCAAAATCTAATAATGAGTAGTTTTCTGTCCAAGATCTTTATCATTTTGCAGTTCTTGTATGTCAGGGCTAGAACGCTCATTGGGCTCAGAGAGCATTAAATTACTTAGAAATATAAGGTAGTACAATACAATGGTTAAAAAGAAGCAATCTGAAATCAGACTGGCCTAGGTTAAGATCCCTTGCCCAGCAATTTCTAGCAAGTGTGAACAAGTCATTTAACACCTCTTAAATTCAGTTTCCTCATCTCATATGTTGATGTAAGAATTAAGCATGATGTATAAAGTCCTTCACACAATGCTCAGGGCGTGGAATAGCAAATAATTATGAAGTGTTCTTTTCTCCACA